CATCTGTATTATGTAGAATTACAGATTAATATTTAAACAGAAACCTCTGTTCAAAATGAATAATGATATTTTCATATTTTCAGATTATCTTTTTCCATATCTGTTTTCATAAATCGTCAATAATCTGCGAAGATGGTAGCTGTTTATTGGTGTCTTGAAGGCTGTTAGAAAATGCACGGCTTCCTATCACAAAAGGAGTATGTTTTAAAGTTGTTCCTAAAAATGCTCCAAAGATTTTTTTATCTGTAAAAAGTATTTATATAAACAATAAACAACAAGTAATATATATATTTATATGTATTTTTGTGTAGTTGTGTCATTTATCCCTATTATCAGCTGCCCCTTGCGGCACAATTAAAAATAAGCAAGTGTAGTGGGGTCATAATGCAGGTTTGTTTGAATTCTTTAATTCTCAGCCACCAGGGCGCGCCACTTTTGCGACACACTTTCTACAAGAGTAATAGTCGTTTCTATATAAGCCTTGTTCTATGGTCAGCTGACTGTCTTGTGATAAGTTTCGCATTCGTTTAAACAATTTCCAATAATCTGGTAGTTTTGTGGGTGAAGTGTTGAAGGAAACATGTAAGTCCACTCACTTGGAATTATTTCTATTTGTCTGCCCTTATTAACTATCATTTCGGTTTTTTATATTTTCTTGAACATAATACATCAGCAAATGTATTGATTTGATCTCAATTGTCATTAGCTTTAACTACATTTGGCTTTAGAGGCATCCGAAATATTCACTAATTGATCATTGTAGACGTAGTCCTTTATTGCAATATCGCCAGTTTTCCTAAGAAAAGTATGTATTTTATGTTTTTTCTATAGGCGTCGACAGTTCGGTAGGCAATTTCCAGCAAGCGGATAATAGTTTTTCCACTGTTCTTATCGAATCTGTGTGTCAAGTGACTTAGCCGCACACCTAAAATAATGGGCGGAACTATCATTTGATCGCATTCACGTGACTGCCTTGGGAAGATGTTTTATTAAGGTTTTTCAATTTTCTTTTAGAAAACACTACTCAAGATGTCGAAATTAATTAAACTTGACGATGAAGAAAGTGATGGCCGATTTGGATATGTCCATATGGTCTCTGGTCCAGGTAAATATTCTAGCAGCTCTAATTGCTTTTGAAAACCAACATAATACCGCAATTTCAATTTATTAATTGCTGATTTTTTCTTGATTTTTAGTCGTTACGGCTGAAAAAATGAGCGGATCTGCTATGTACGAATTGGTCAGGGTAGGGTACAATGAGCTCGTAGGAGAAATCATCCGTTTGGAGGGTGATATGGCAACTATCCAAGTAAGTTCACTCCCTTTTAATCACATGCCACATTAAAACCGGGTCATTTGACTCGCAATTAACGATTTCAATTGTGTCACATGATACTTCCTATTGTATAATAATTAATCATGGAAAAATCAATTTATTTTACCAAATTTGATTGGAAAAGCACTTAATACTGTTTTTAGTGGTTTGAATTCTTGCTATATTCTGAATGAAGAGTGCTTTCGAAGATTTTCGAAATACAACAGTCTGTAGCATGTTATATGCCTAAAAAGATGTTAATACCAACACTTTCAAATAATATTTACATTATACGATTTCGTCTATTGTTAACTTTTGTCGAATTTGCTACATTCTAGTTCAACCTTAAACATTATCATTAGCTTAGATAAATTATACATTTTTTCAAACCACTTCTTAAATTTCTTATACTCCATGAATTTTGTAAGATAAAATCGATTTCCTGTGCTATTATTTTCTAATCAACTGCTATAAAGTTGACTGAAGTTTTTAAGCATTAAAACCAACATTTGATCATTGAAGACACTGGGGACAACAGCCAAGGTTTGATTTAAAATGCAATTTATAAACCACTTGTCCAACGAAACATCTCTGGGTCATTATGCTTAATATTTGCATTTGTTAAGTTGGTCAGACTGGAAATTCTGTTATTTTCGAGTTATTTTTATAATGCTTGTACTTCTGAAACATTAAATAAGTTTAGCGAGAATAAAATAGTAAATTGAAAAAAATCATAAAAAAACTTCTTGTAATAGTACAGAAGTACGAGGTGAATTAAAAGGGGAACCTGCTACACTTTCCTATGGCAACTTTAAGTCAGTGTGAAAATTATTAGTTAATTATGCTTTCGACGCCTTAGTTTTGAAAAGTTAATACTTCTTTGTTTTTGTTACTACGGTCGAGTTTGTTTATTAGCAAAATCGAATAGCTAATTTCGCTCTGAAATCAACCACGTTGACATTTAGCTATTTTTGACTGACCAACCTGTACTTTAGACCACAATATTTACTTATTATATCACAGTGGATATAGCACATATCGTAGAATTCAATTGAAAATACCACATTGTTAAATACTAACTAATTATCTTACATGTTATCTATTTGAGATTGTATCATAATTAAGAAATTTGCCAAAAAGCAATTCAATGAAGCATAAATGTGTTTAAATATAAGTAATATCGTTAAGGTGTTTTAAAAAATTACCCTCGTTTTCTAAGTACAAGAACAACAACTTTTAACTGCCGACCTATAAAAGAGATATTCCCATTTCTGGTGTTTATTTTCTTCTTCTGCTTCCTCTTATATTAGGATTATATCCTGTTTTTCATCAACATCATAGCTTCAGTTGTGACGCTGAACTCCAGCTTTCATACCAGCGGGTTGGTGGTCGTCCCGGGGGTCTTTTTGAACGTGAAACTCTCTGGCAACTTTTGGCAGTCTGGTGTTGCCCATCCTGTCAACGTGGTCTCTCCACTCTCGTCTCCTGTTGCGAGACCATCTCACGACGTCTTGGACATCACACTTAGTTCTGATGTCGTCGCTTCTTACATGGTACAGTGGGCTACATCCCATCATAGATCTTAGAGTTCTCATTTCAGTTGTTCTTATAATCCGTTTAGTTAGGGCATTTTCCGCTCTGGTTTCGACTGCTTACGTCATCACAGGTTTTGTATAGTCTGGTTGTTTTTTAGTGCGATAGAGTCCATTATTTCCGATGGTGTTGAACTTTCGAAAAATAGTTTCATATAAAAGTTGTTAACGCACAAAGTGTGCACATTTTAAAAATATCTTATATGATACAGAGTGCCTCAGAAAAGCGAGGCGAGATCAAAGTGTATTTTTTTAAATAGAACTACCCATTTTTCATTAGCTCATGGAATGCAGCTTGAAACGCTGCACATGCACCGTAAATTGTTTTTTTCTTACTTGCGACGTCCAGTTGGTATGGGTACTTTCTCAGATAGTTTGCCTGCAACTTTTATGTAAGTGTGGTTGTCTGTGTTGACGTTCCGCAATAATTGTTATTATGTTGCGGTTAATATGTCTCTTCTGCAAGAGGGGCACGACGTCGGATAGTCTTAGGCCCGTATTTATAAACGTTGCTCAAGCATGAGTCGAGCCCCAAGTACGATACTTGGCTTCGATTGCGATTTATAAACGATTCTCACTCTCAAGCCAGCGCTTACAGCTTTGCTTGCTCAAGTATCGGTCGACGGTGGCTTGAGTATTGCTTCTGTCCAGCCATTGGTCGAGATTTTTCGTTGAACCGTCAAATGCCGTTGATGGAGTTTGCGTTTGCGTTGTTTGATTCGGAGCCTTGCAGTGCTGTGAGACAGGAAGAATAAGTCCGAGGGTTGGGGAGTGCAAACTCGTCTATCCTGACTCCCCTTCAAATCGAGCTGGCAAATTGCTGAGAGCAGAGCCAAGGAACGACAAGACAAGACAAGACAACCATCAAACGGTTTTTAAGGTTATATTACTGTTTATGTTATGTTTTTACATTTTAATTTTTTGATTTTACTATCGTATACAATACCTATAAGAATGGACAAGGTTTTGAATATTTGGACGTAACAGAGGTGGAAATAAACGAAGACCAACGTGTTAGTAAAATATATATACGAGATGGCAAAAATCCTTTTGAGTTTTTCTCGCATGTAGAATTTCGGAAAAGGTTTCGGTTTTCAAAGGCCACTATTATTAAGGTGATATTACCTTTTTTAAACGAACCATTATTGAAAGCGGATAATCATGGACTACCAATATCAAATATCACCCATTACTCAATTGCTGGTATGTTCAAGATTCTATACAAGTGGTTTTCTATTCTAGAGATTCTATACAACAAGTAGCAATGTTTCTATGATTTCATGTCTACTTTCTTACACAAAGTGTATATTATATTGTAGCTTGTGTCCGGTAATCTTCGTGTTCTTCGCCAGTCCTTCAGCTATTCAAAAGAGATATTTACATAATAGCATTAACGCCATCTCAGATTCGCCAATAGTCCCAATGTAAAATTACCAAATAAATACGAAAGTCCCTATACATCTTATCCTCGACCGATACTTCGCCGAGAATCCACGAAGTACTGTTTTAAATCGTGTCTCTTGCTTGAGAACGATCTCGTACTTGGCCAAGCATGAGCTGAGTATCGGCTTGAGTATCGTTTATAAATACGGGCCTTATTCTATCGAAAGCCTGAGTCAGGTCCTCAAAGCACATGCAAGCTGGTTTATTAAATTATATAGTTTTTTTGGTTATTTGCCGGATGGTAAATATTGCATCAATAGTGGATCTATGCTTTATTTTATTTATGAATCCCTGTTGTTCTGCGCATATTCCCGAAGCTGCTACTTCTTCCTCAAAGATCCTCGTAAGGAGTTTTGAGATTGCTCTTAGGAGGCCAATTCCTCTGTAGTTAGTTAAGTCAGTTTTTGATCCCTTTTTGAAAACTGGTATAGTAATATTATATTTCCACTCTGCTGGTATTTCTTTTTTGTGCAATACTTTGTTAAAGAAGGCATGTATCTGGTCTAGTAGCATATCACCTCCGTATTTGATCATTTCATTGCTTATCTCATCCATTCCCGGCGACTTTCGATTTTTCATTTTTCGAACTAGTTGTTTTATCTTTTCCCTCGATATGTTCCACTGTTGGTGTGTGCTAGTATCGTTTAGTTGTGTTTTGATGGTTTTAACGTTGACGTTAGTTTGCTTATATAGCTCACAAAAGTGTTTCTCCCAGTCTTTAGTAGAGATCGTGGTAGTTTGTATGTATTCATTTATTGGTTTTTTCCTGGTTCGAAGCATGTTTTTTTTGCCCTCCATACAGGTCGTATTCCATATCTTTGGAGAATTTTTCCCAGTAAGCCTGTTTTATTGTTTAGATGTGGTTATTGGTACTATTTCTAACAATTTTGTATTCATTGTATGTGATTGACTTTGATCTGTATTTTACATAAGCCTTTCGTTTCTCCCCAGCCAGTTGTTTAATTTCTTGATCAAACCAGGGTTTGGTATTCAGTTTTTTATCACTTCTGATGAATCGTCTCCCAAGTGCCTCTGCCGCAGATTTTATTATATTTGTCTTTAGTTTCTTCCATGCGGTTTCCACATCGTTTTCTTCTAGTACTGTGCATACTTTAATTTTTCATTTCAGTCTTTGCTGCTACAATTGCCTTGTCGACTCATCGGATAGCGATTCCACGTTGAGCCCCCAGTGCATTCCCTCCTTACTCGCTGAAGAGTGATCGTGATCTTGGCCATTACAAGGTTATGGTTGGTTCCGGCATTCGCTGAGCTTAAGGTCCGGACGTCTTGTATTCTGCGTGGGTTGATATTTCTGTTTGTGATTATGGAGTCTATCATGGATTTCTGGCCTCGTGTATTTTCAAAAGTGTATTTGTGTTGTGGGTTATGCGGTTAAGTGTTGTTTATTCTTAACTTGCTTTGTGCGCAAAGCTGCATTAGTTGTTCACCAGTTTCGTTTTTTATTTCTCTTTATTATTATATTTCATTATATCGACTTTTTGTCGATAATGATGGTAATACCAGGGTATTACCTCATTACCGATTCTGGCGTTCCGATCTCCAAAGATTATAACTTCATCTTGGGCGCTAATGTCGTCGAGCACCGACTGTAGGTTTTGATAGAAGGTATTTCTTCCTTTGGTTTAGTAATGTCAGGGGCGTAGAAGCTTATTAGATGGGTATTCTTCCTTTTTATGAATCTGACTGTTACCTGCAGAATTCTTTCATCCTTGTATTTTATTTCCCTAATGTTGTTTTCGAAACTCTTGTGCAGCAGTATTCCAAAACCAGCAGTTGCTCTTTCATTTTTATTCCTTCCGCTATAAACAAGAAGGTAGTCTCCATATCTGGTGTTTCCCTTGCTTTTCTTCTGGGTTTCTGAGAGTGCGCAAATGTAGATCTTGTGTTTCTCAACTTCTATCAGAATTTCTTCCTTCTTGTTGGAGAGGGATGTGACATTCCAGCATTCAAAATGTAGAGGTTTCAGTTTTCTTATTCGTTTCCGTTTTCTCACCGGGTCGTCGTTGGTTGAATCCGTCCTATTATCCGAGACTAAGTTGTTGGATCCTTGAGCATCATTTTTTGGTACCGGGTAGGTTGCTAACCTCGCTCGGAAACCCTCCTCTTTTGTCCGGGCTTGGGACCGGCTGCAACTCCAATGGGCTACTCAATCCACCCACTCTTGTCACAGGCAGAGTTTGTTTATTTTCAATAGTTGTAATACGGAATCTAAGGAATTCATCTTCACTTGCAAAAGTTATTAGCTCATAACCATATTTCGTGTTATACCTAAGCAAAAGAAATATAGTGGAGTCATGTCGGGAGATAATGCTGGTCGTGGAGTCTGAAAATAAATGCTTGAATATCAAATTGAACCGAAAGATTCTGTAACCTTTTTTGAATTGTTGGCAGGTGCATCGTCCAAACCCACAGCAGCGTATTTCGGTTAAAGCCAGATTATCGAGGGGCTGAAAGAAAAAAGTTTGAATGTGTTGTTGTTTTAATTCTTTCTATAAATGAGGGTTTTGCTTTTATCAAAAATGCACATTTATTTTATTTTTTACACCATTATTTGAAACAAAACTATCAAGAGACATGTAATTTGATTAGGAAAATGTCTGTTTTTTGTATTCATCTCTATCACCTGGTTTAAGGTCGTGGCAAATTTTATATGTGAAAGATGCAAATCTTTGGTTGTGTTTAACGAAATATCCTGATGATTTTTTTGTGTTGAAATTCCGCTGTTCTCCGTAACTTCCAATAATACTTTTTTTAAATGCACCATATTGTCTGAAATGAGTTGGTAACTGAATGTTCAACTAACAACTAAACTGAAATTAAAGTAATTGTGGTAACATAAAAAAAAATTGTATTAAAATTATTTTCTCCATTGTTTAAGAACATTGCATTGTAGAACATTTCAAAATTATGCCGTATGAAGTAGTTCTTCTAAATTCACATCAAGAGTGTTTAAAGGACTGTGTTATTTTAAAGGAATTTTAATTGACCGACTTATCTCCGTTTAACCCGTTAAACACTGTATCATTTACTGTATCCGATATCCACATACTGGCCCATTGTATTTTAGACACAGTGAGTCGGTTCGGGACAGTTTATTGGAATACATTTCTTAGTACTTACTTTCTTAGTACTTGTAAATCTGGATATCACAGTTTCGTGAAGATTAAGAAAAGTAGTAAAATGTTTCAGTGGAACTGGAATATTATTTACTTATTTATTTATTTAACCAGTTAAAAATTACAAATTAATCTGTAAAGTCTTATAGTGGTAATATAATTACCTGTGCATAGGCCTGGCTTACTAAGAATAGTCCTACTGCTAACTTATCTTAAGAACTCGTTAGATTATACAGGGTTGCTCATTAGTGCGTCAAAGTGCGATATCTCAGTAAATATGAAGTTTACAAGAAAATTCGTCCAACGAAAGTTTTTCACGTTTAAAAGGTCCACATTCTAAAATTACTTTCCAATATACAGGGTGCATCATAAACGTGTGGTAGTTACCAACTCTGGTTTTTTAAATGAAACCCCCCCTTTTTTTGTTATTTTCAGATTGGCCGTTCAATTTTAATTTATGT